AACACTAATTTGCCAACTGTCTGGCACACTTTCACATGTGAAAACTTTTTTAGATAATTAGTTCACTTTGCAATCAGCCTAAGCACTATAATACAGGTAAGCTGTGTGTGCGGAGTACAATGGAGGGAGCAGAAAGAGTGAGAGGAGGCCGAGGAAGAGGACGTGGAGGTGAAGAAGTAGGATGAAGAGGATGACAAGGACAAGGAGGAGCAAGAGGAAGACAAGGAGGGGGGAGAGGAAAATGAGGAGGGGGGAGAGGAAGATGAGGAGAGATTGTCATTTTACCCACACTGGCTGGTGTGTGAAGACGCATTTTACTTTTCTCTGGGATGCTTGTTCCTATATGACCGTCTCCCGCTGAGGGGGTGTGTTTGTAAGTCTTTGATTCTGATTTTCCTTGTTTGGATCACACAAACGCAAATAAAATGTAATAAAGCTTTCCATCAGGCACGCAGCCTCTAACTTCTCCATCTTCACTATTACAAAAACACCAGTTTAACTAAGAATAACTTAAATTCAACTAGAGCCCAACCGATATATAAATAGTGGAGCCAATTTGCCAATATATCAGTACTCCCACTTACAACAGCCAAAAAAAGAATATTTAAAAAGTAAAGAGAAGGTCAGAGAAATGCCCTACAACACGGGTGTCAAACATAAGGCCCCAGGGCCAGATTTCAGTCTGGCAAAGACTTCATTCCTGCCCGCTGCATAGAGCTGGAAAATTTTTGGACTTCTAACTGTATTTTCATATGTTTTACAGCTGTTGCTACATTTATCTTACATCAAAAATAATTAAGTAATAGAAAACAACCAAATGACAGAAAAGTTATTATTTTTCTTTTCTGTGAATTAATAAAAATCTTCTTATTTATACTTACAGCCCAGTCTGGGCAATGAGCTCCCAGAATCTTATTTACACATGTAGAGAATAGCTTAATCCCACAGAGTCATGCTGACTGATTTCTTTCTTTGCTGGAGCAGCATTTCTTCATCATATAGAAAGACGGAGATGTGCAGTTCAAATTAGGCTTCCTTTTCTATTATGAAGATATCTCAGGGATTAAATGTGTACATTGACAGAAATTGGAATTTTACTAGTGGTGCTTTGTGTGTGTTTGGCACGATATAAATGATCTGAATTGAACTGATTTGGTCTGGCTTGCTTAAGATCAAAGTGGACCACAATGTAAAATGAGGCTAATGTCCCTGTCCTACAACTATGCTATGACGGATGTTGCATAGTTTGTCCACCAGAGGGCACTCTGCAACTTCCCATTTGGAAAAGGGTATTTGGAAGACCACAAACAACCAGCTGTCCAGAGCATGAATTAATTTAACATTTTTAGACACATCCCCAATACATCATTTTAAATATAAGAACTGGCTTTATAGTAGGATGAAAATACTGAACTCACAGTGACCAATTTGTCTTTTACAGAGGCAAAACTGCAAAATGAGGCTATTGTGCAAATATTTAAAGACATAACTGCAACAAATGCAGCAAACCTGCCCATGGTCAGGAGACCAGGACCAAATCAAATCCAGGGTTTAAGGGTTTAAGCCTGAGGACATGAATATAAAGAAAATGCTTTTTGCTATTATAGGGTTATAAGAACAGAATTAACACATTTTTAATACAATATTAATTATTGTATTACTACATGGTCACAGTCTGGCTTCAGTCCCTATGTACTAGAACACTGAAAATGTTTTAGAAAATTTTACAAAAGTACAGCTTACTTAACTTTGAAAATCTTATTACATACATTCTTCACTGATTAGGTGCTTTAAATATGTAGCCATGAACTACAGATGAAATTTAGTTTAAACTATCCTGTGGCTAATTTACAGAAATGTTTATTAATGTACATTATCCCTGGTAAAAAATAAATAAATAAATAAATAATAATAATAATAATAATTAGAAAATAGAATGCAAAGATCTAATATGGAAAGCCTTAAATTTCTATTCCAAAGATAAATTTTAAATGCATGCTAATACATTGAGAAGAAACAGGAAGAGCTATAGCTGCATTGTGAAAAAGTCCCTGGATCATAATTCTGACTCACTGCAAAAACACAAAACTCTGGAGGAACTTGAGAATTAATTCATCTGGATCTATTTTAGAAATACTGTGGCTTACTTTTCTAGAAAAACCTGCATCATATGATATCCTGCTGAACCTGGGCTTCCGCAATTGCACTGTTATTCAGACTCTTCTCATTCATAAACAAAGCTTTACTCAGTGTCAAACATACAGCACCCTCCTTATTCCAACCACTTCTAGCTCCTGCTCATCGCTTGTAGGTGAAAGGCCGTCGGCCGTTGAATGGCGAGTAAATTAATCTGCCCCGCCTCCTGACGTCACGTATGTCCCCTGGCTGTGATTGGCTGGTGATTTAATGAGCGCTGCAGAACAGAAACAGAAAAATCCAACACGTAGGGCACGCAGCGTGTGTTGAAGTGTGAGCAGAGCTGCTTCACTGAGCCAAGCGGACCCAAAACAAACCAGCAGGACTGCGGCTCAGAAGAAAGATAAGGGCGAGAAGAGCCTCGCACTGAGAGAGATAACCATCCTTATTTATAAAGCTGGAAGCTCATTTTATATTTTATTTTGTTGGTTTTTGCACTGCAGCTGATAGCGGATGCATTTTTTTCTCCATTATGTAAATTAGATATTTTTATGCGCCTCTTTACACGAGAGTGGACCTTGCAGTAGCATTTCTGCTGAACATTTCTAGATAAGAACAGTGAGGGAGCAGAAGACATGGAGAAAGCACAGGGCTTCTCTCCGGACAGAAACGTCCTCTGCCTGTTTGATGTGGACGGCACTCTGACACCACCGAGAGAGGTGAGCTCGCTTCCCATCGATAATCTTATTATTATTGTTATTAGTTATGATCAGATTTCATGACAGCTCTCTCCTCTTCTGCCCTCATCATTGACCTCTGATGAGAGGTACCTTACTGTAGAGAACACGGTGTCCTGATGACTTCACGTGCTCTTTCTCACAGTGTTTACTTTCCTTTTGCACTCCTTGCTCCTCCTACACACATACCCAGGTACGGGTCTGCGGGGATGCACATGGATGTATATCTTCAGTGTTATATTAATGGTGCTCCATGGCGATCTCTGCAACTGACCAATCACAGGGCTGTGATGTAATAGACGCATCTCGGAGAAAAAAAAAAGTGTAGGGCGACACTATGCACTTTAAGATGCAATAAACTCATAACTGTCAACCAGGAGGTTTCAATCCAATGTGAATTCAAACCTGTATTTATTATTTGAGGTGTTTTTTACAATTTAATTACCAAGTTTTTAACCTTTCACAACATCAACTGTGCATCAGAAAGTCCTTCTATCATAAGGTACTGAAGGCAGGCTTCGCCATGCAGCTGCAAAGCCTCTCAGTAAGGTACACATGTTGCTGTGCAGAATAACTGATAATGCATTGCTCAGCTGGCTTATTGCAGGAAATTTAAAATAACCATTTTTGTTACCAGTTATGTAAGGTTTAATAGAGCCTTTGATTTTTGTATCTGGAGCGTCTGATTTATGCACACTCTCTTGTTCTTTTGTCTTTGACTTTCTATGCTCAGTTTCATGCAGGATCACTGGTGTGTGTGTGAGTGTGCGTGTGTGCAGGACGCGTCAGTGCCCGGATATTGCATAATGTGGTCTCCTTTGAGTGCAGTTCGGGGAGTTTTCCTCCTTACATTGGGAGACTTTAAATCTGCTCCAAATAAATGACACTACACCTCTTTGCAAGATAGAGAGCTTGTTGTTGATGACGATATGTGTGTCTGTTTAGGTGTGTTTGTGTCATTAAAACAAAGTGATAATTAAAGTGTGTTTTTCCTGTTTGTAGAAAATCGACCCGGAGCTGGATGAGTTCTTCCAGACTCTGCGTAAGAAGGTGAAGATCGGCATCGTGGGAGGGTCGGACTACTCGAAGATTGCAGAGCAGCTTGGGGAGGGAGATGATGGTGAGGAGATCTCTTCCTGTCTCAGCCACAGACGCTTGTGATTCAGCAAGCTCCATCACCCAACATGCCCTGACACAGGCTGCAGGGAGTAGAGCTGAGGTTATGATTAATTCTGGAAATAATTTTGTATTTAAGCCGCAAATTAAACTAAAGCAAGCTTCCTTCTAAACGCGAGACCTGCCATAAATAAATAACAGCGCAAGCTGGTTCGGCCAGTCATTAACTTCATGTGTGTTGCATGTATGTTCACTTCACTTTATGATCTTGTGATTCCCCAAACCAGCAGCCAAAGCACACAATTGTAACACGGGCATTGCACCAGCAGCCTCTCAGCTGAGTTCACGCCCAGCTGCTGCAGGCAGGCTGATAACCTGTCTGTCAGTCAATATGAGGTTACCGCTGGAATGCAGCTGCATTGTGCCTAAAAAGTGTGCCAAAGGTGAACCTTCACTTACTTTGTGTTACAATGTCACAGGTAATATTAACGTTGCGTATTTGAAATTTGATACAGCTGTTGTAACTAACATGTTTTTATGCAGTTCTGCATGCTTTTGTTTTACTGGCTTTTGCCTCTGTTAAAGTTATAAAAGCAGCTTTAACACAGGCTCAGCTACAGAGCTTCCTCATCATTGTCTTAGTGCAGAGTGAGTGTGAAAGTCAGGAGGATTAAACTCGTCTAGCCAGCGTTACATACACTTTAATCTGCTGCTGGGTAAATATAGCAGGTATGTCTTCCGATTAGCGAAGGAGCTGCTCCAAATTTAGTATGTAGGTTAAAGAGAAATAGATGAGCACATTTAGGTACATTTGACCCGTCTCTTTTCTTGCAGTGATACACAAGTTTGATTATGTGTTTGCTGAAAATGGGACAGTGCAGTACAAAGATGGGAAACTCCTCTCAAAACATGTAAGTCCTCCTATACTCAGATACACGTTTTTATGTCCTGATTCAAAAAATAACAGTAACAAGAATACAAGTAGAATTGTAATGAAAGGAAGATTGCACAAAAGCATAAAGAAAGTAATTTGCTGTCATAAACCATGTTGTAAAACTTAGTTTTACTCCATTTGTTTACCCTGGTCTTTTCGTGTATTTTAATCCCTGCAGGCCATTCAAAACCAGATCGGGGAGGAGCTGCTGCAGGACCTGATCAACTTCTGCCTCAGTTACATGGGACTTATCAAACTGCCAAAGAAAAGGTCAGATGGTAAAAATAGCTCACAAGAATTAGGCTACAAGCTATTTTAACCTAAGGCAGAAAGACAAACCTGAATTCCAGCTTTGCAGGAATGTGAGGTATTTTAGCAATGACCTGAGGCACTGAAGCAAGAGAACACAATTGTGTTGTGATGTCTCATCAAATATGAAGCTATAACAATATGTTTAAACTCAAGTATTATGTCCTGACGATGCCTTTCTGCCGCAGGGGTACATTTATTGAGTTCAGGAACGGAATGATCAACATCTCCCCCATCGGTCGGAGCTGCACGCCAGAGGAGCGAATTGAATTTTCTGAAATCGACAAGGTAAACTTCATTGGCAGAAGTACTTTATGCAGAAGCAAACACCATGTATTTATTTATTATCCCTGCAGGCATTTTAGTAGCAGCAAAACTTATGCAGTGCAGTTAAGCTGCCATTTCTTTGCTACAAAAAAAGGGTGAAAAAGCAACAAAACATTGTAAAAAAAACATCTGAATAACATCTGACTTCCGGGACAAAGTCCTTTTGACAGACGAGACCAAGATTAAGATGTTTGGCCAAAACGAAACACAGCATATCAGCATGAACACCTTAGACCAACCATTAAACACTAGGGGCGGTGGAAGAAATCGATAAAGCAGAGCATTATGATAATTTGTGTGGCAATATTGTACTGATAAGGATACAAGGACAGGTAAATATTTATATTTTATAAATTAAATTAAGACATTCTGGGAATACCTGTGAACAAGACTGAATACTGTGAACATGCACTGCTTTCTAGAGATAACATTAACCGAGCAAACTCGCATTTAATCAGCTGAACTGAAAACTCATCAACACTGAACACGCTTACCTTGACAAAGCTCTCTGCTAATTCAGATCAACATAAGGGATCAGTATTTCTGCATGAGTAAAAATAGGACAGCAACCTCCTTAAGTCTAAAAAACAATCTCTGGCTGTCTGCTGATCCTTCTAAGCACAGTGATAATTAAGCTTTGATTTACACTCACAGGACTAAGACTCAGATATTGAGTTCACCATTAACTCCTCTGTATAGCAAAGTATTCTAGACTCAAATGCGAAGCCATCTGTTTAAAAGCTAAAGCTTGGTCCAAATTGGGTCATGCAACAGGGCAACGATCCCAAGCACATCAGCAAATCTACAACAGAACGTCTGAAAAAGAAAAGAATGAAGGTGTTGCAATCAAAGCCCAGGCTTCAATTTGATTAAAATGCAGTGGTGGGACTCTAAGAGAGCTGTGCATAAACAAATATCCACAAATCGCAATGAACTGAATCAATGTTGCAAAAACGAGTCGGACAGAATTCCTCCACAGCTCTTCGAGTTATTGCTGCTAAAGGTGTTTCTACAATCTACTGACTCATGGGGTGCACGAAGTTTTTCCACACACTGCATTTGATTTAGTTTTAGATTGAAATAATTTTAGAAGCTGAAGGACCAGATGATTGATTTTATTATGTCCTGACATATGAACCTTAAAATTAAATATCACATATCAGTCACTGAGAGTTACAGCAAGTCGTGTTACTGTCTCGGTTACAAAGACAAAGGACGTTAAACAATGGCGAGCTTTCAGGACCGCTTAACAAGCTGCCCATTGATGGCTCACAGACACAGGCGATATGGAGGAAGTCGAAGGTTAACTCTTCAGTTACCTGCTAACATTTAAATTCCTGCATTCTCTGCTGTATTCGTAGAGAAAATGACATGGCTACTGCAGCGGTTTCTGTGAACTTGACGAACTTTTACATTGCAAAAGCACTTTTACTTTGTTTTTGCCATCGAGCTAACTGGGTTGTCATTCCCTCCACAGAGAGAGAAGATCAGAGAGAAATTTGTTGCTGCTCTGAAAAAGGAGTTTGCTGGAAAAGGACTACGGTTTACTAAAGGTGAGAGAGTTTAAACTGAAAGCATCTTCACACCCACTGATAAATATAATAAAGCTCTCTGTAAATCTTCATGCAAGAAAGCTGACATTACTGGGACACACCTCTTGAAGCGATGATTAAAATAGTATGCAACTGATACTTTATCACTCTGATTGTAATTTATTTGTCTTGGTAATCACTTCAGTTATCATCAAAACATCAGCTATTATTTCATACCTGAACCAGCCAAATCAGTTCACCATCATCAGCCTAACACTGGTTCTTTCAGGCTTTGAACTATTTTAAGCGACTCACTCTTCTGGTTTGTCAAACCAGTAAGACCGCCTTTGTTTTTATGTTGTTTTCATGTTCAGTTAAGTCAGTATTCAGCTCAATACCATGTAGTTTAATGACAAACCACATCTATCTGCCTGCTGTATCTTATCTCAGTTTACAAAGAGGCCCCTCTGTCTCCCACCTGTATGCAGTGTCTTGGACCTTGTGCTGTTGATCCGAGGCCTCGGTTAACTATTACACACTCGCTGTTCCCTGTCTTGCTTTATTAAAGTGTGTCAGGCAAGGTGAATCAAGTACTTGATGTTTGCTTACGTGCTCCATGAGGTGTGAACTTCAGCTGGTGATGCATGAAGGCTGCCCACATGCGAGACAGCTGGCCTTGTTTACCTACAGCAAACCTGCTTGTGAACATCCTCGACATGTAGCAGCAAAAGAAGGGATTAGATCTTACTTCCCCAGATAAATGAATAGAAAGATACTGAGCATCAGTGTTGGTCAAGTTACTTGAAAAAAGTAAT